AAGTATATTCAAGTTCAGTAAACATTCCTCAATAAACTGTATAACATTTTCCCCATTTTCCATTTTGTATCTTTGAAGGAGATGAATGAATTATCTAGCTTTCTCCCAAGTTCTAGTCAAACATGTGAAGAAAACATATTGAATAACCCTCCCTTCGTGCCGCGTAAGTTTTCACCTGTTTGATATTTAAAACAATCTCAGGAATCATTGGTGGTGGGAAATGTGCACTGGTTGAAGGGATGGGTGTTGGAACATGATGTGATTGAAATCCAGTCATGAACAACTTTGTAACTGTGTATCTCACTGTGATTCAATTTTAAAAAATAAATTAAAATTAGGGGAAAAAACTCAAACAACCTCAGGAATCCTTGTGTGGCCATGAGCACATTTACTACCCAATTTAGGGGAGCCCCAGAAACCCAGACACCTCCTATACTGGAGATCTTGCTGATTTGTCTGGTCTCTGATCAAGTTTTGCTGCCACAAGTCAAGGGTGAGTGCCGAAGTCTAATCTTCCCACTTTAATACCCTAGCTCTTCCACACTGTTCACTTCCTCCAAGCCCAGAATACATGTGGTTCAGCGTCAAACTTCATGAGAATTTCAGAACAAATTATTTAACCTCTTGCAACAGTCCCAGTTTTGCTTGCTTTGCTTATTTCTTATTTTCTCTGCACAATCTGTTTCTCAGTTTTATTTCTCACTGTGGTTCCATTTGTCATGATTTACTTTTATCTCATCTTCTTTTTGTCAAAAATAGTTTTCTTTTTCCAACAGACCGACTTGAATTCCATAACCTCCCTTCATCTGCCAAATACTTCTATTGCCTCTATCCTAAGCATTTTGACCATTTAAGCCTTTCTGACTGATCATAGCTTTCAGGTTTCTCAGTTGCCTCTGCTCATCAACACTTTATTCCTCTAAACTCTGTAAGTTTAGAGGAATATATATATATATATTAATTATCTTAATGAGCAACATAGTATTGGCCCCAGTTAGGAAGTGCTATTTAGAAAGAATTTATTAATTTAATTTAAAACTTTTATTTTGGTTTAGCCAACATGGTTACCAATCATTAGCAACACATGAGCCAAGCACTAACAATCACATTAACGTTTATGGCTTTGATAAAAGTAAAGTAAAGGCCCTCCCGTTGATCGTCGATTTGCTCGAGCGGGCCCAGTAACGTCTCCATTGGAGACTTTGTTGTTACTGTGTCTGGCATATCAAATACTCTCGGTAGCTTGCCGGGCTCTCCGAGAGGGGCGGAGGATTCGAACTCGGGTCGGCCATGTTGGCTGCGTGCAAGGTAGACGCCCTACCCGCTGTGCAAAGTTATTGCAGTTTTGCCACCACCAACATATTCAATTCTTTACTACTGTCTTTATGCTTCATCTAGTTTATGATGAAATTTAAAGACTGATGATGTGATAAGGTAGGAAGATATAGGTGGGCAAGTAAGTAAAAGCCAACAATTGAGTGGTTATTTGTTAGGGGACAGGTTCACTGATGAGCTTTCTCCCCACAGAATCTATGAGACCATTGCTTTACGAAGGAACCATTTGCATGGATGCAGAGTTTTATGAAGAATTTCACTATAATTTACACAGCTTGTATGGATATTTTATGACAAAAGCCACAGACTTGTAAGTACTATTTTTTTCCCTCTAATTGATGATCTGGGGAGGTGAGAGGTGGAAGATTTTTATTGTTTTCCATAAATATATTATTCAAATAATTTTTGTGTGATGATAAGAATATAGGAACTCAGATCTACTACAGGGTACTAATGAGGTCTTCTTGTGTAACCCCTTGGCTTCTGTACAGGATGATTTTTATTTTGATTGATGAGAAGAGATCTCATAATTTTAAGGATGCTAAAAGGCAGTCAGATACAAAGGATTCATAGCCCCCACTGGAAGTCAGCCCTTACCTTATCACATCATCAGTCTTTAAATTTTATCATAAACTAGATGAGGCATAAAGACAGTGGTAAAGAATTGAATATGTTGGTGGTTCTGTTGCTAAACATTCTTTGTTCACTGCATCAGAGTTGCATGATGGAAAGAATAAATGATAGGGCAGCCAGTTAAAGTTGTACTACACATCTTACACTCAAATTATCTGTTGTTTATGAGAAGTACAATTTGTCTACAAAAAATGAGAAAAAAACATCCAGTAGTCAATATTTACCTAGCACTGTCACAGTATGTACTCCTGGATGGCTTACTTTCTCACTGCCTTCCCCTTTCCCCTCTCAACTTTCCCTTTGGACCTCAAAATAAACACACATCACAACTTCCCTTTACCCCCACTTCCCCACCATTACAAATGCATATGCCACTATAGCTATCATATCTATCTCCATCACGACTACCACATGCATCACCACCATTTCTACCTCCACTAACTCCACCACCACCAAATCCTCTTCTACCACTATCATTATTAAAACTTACTAATGAAAAAGAAGCTTTAGTCATTTCCATTTCTGTCACATAGATTTTTTTGCTCATAACTCCATAAATTGAGAGAAAGCTGCTAGCACTTTCCCTATCAAGTTCCTTGGCACGCTTGAAACTCTGTTTCTTTGTTTCTTCAGGGAACACTCTCCCAACTGTGTTATTCTCTGCTGTCTCTTCTCAAGTTCAATGTATTGGTTCTTTTCATCTATGCAGATTTGAAAACAAGGGATATATGTATGCTTGAATTAGAGATTTTAAATCATCAGAAGTTGTTTGATTAGACAGCATAAGAATATATTACCTGTACATCAGCATTAAATGAATAAAGAAGATTAAGCCGCTGATTCTTGGCTCCAAAGGATCAGTTCTCTATTCTTTGAAATGAGAAGTTTGGATTACTACTTTCCACCTTTAAATCTTATTCCCATATATTTAAATTTTTTGGTGCTTTATCCCAAGAACTGGAAGTGAAAATGAGAATGTATAAAAGGTCAAGGTGGAAAAGACTAAGGAAGATTGGAGGAGGAAAAATAGGGTTTCAATTGCTTTGTTGCCAGTATCTGTGTCAGATAAAGTGCTATAAAACCATAATGGGACTAGTTAATATTTTCTAGCAGCTGGTTAATAGTTAAAATTTAACTGTGACTGAGAGAGTAGAACTACTTTTCTGGTTTCTCTGGGTCAGAAAGAATATGAAAAAGAGTGAAGATAAATAGAACTTGGCCTTTGAGCTGGAGGCACCATAGGTTACAAAGAAGTTAAAATTTTAATCCAGTACTAGGAGGGCATCAGGAAATTTTAAGTCATAAAAGTGATGAATACTTTGCTGAAATCTTAGTTTGGAGGCAGTGACTACCGATCTACCTAGTGAATCAAATTCACCTCCCTCTAAAGTGAAGGTAGAAAGAAAATTTCTCAGAAATTCGGACTTCACTACAAATAGTCTGTGGGATAGAAAAGAGAGATTTAGGAGTTTCTGAATAAGTAAGTTTTCCTTAAAGCAGGGAGTAAAAACAGATTTACCTAATTTGTATCACTATAATTGCCTGTCTCTAAAGAAATTGTGACCTCACATAACTTCCTGATTCATTCCCTGTTTTCATTCTTGGTTTTAATTTTTTAATTTTATTTTATTTGCTTTTTGGGTCACACCTGGCGATGCTCAGGGGTTGCTCCTGGCTCATGCACTCAGGAATTGCTCCTGGCGGTGCTCAGGGGACGATATGGGATGCTGAGAATCGAACCTGTGTGGGCCATGTTGGCTGCATGCAAGGCAAATGCCTTACCCGCTGTGCTATTGCTCCAGCCCCAGTTTTTATTTTATACAAATTACCTTCTGTCCTTAATGACTACTTCAGAGCACCATACATCCTCTAGTCACTAGTAATAACAAAGGCAAAATTACAACTGTTGTAGATAAGAACATGAGAGAAGAGAGTTAAACAATATATCTGCTTCTCAATGCTATCTTGCATCATTTGAAAAAAATCATACTAAAATAAAAAACATACTAAAATGTTTAATCATTTAATTTCTATTAGCTGAATAGAAATGACAAGATAGAATTAGTTTGGAGTGAGCAAATTGCATATAAGCTTTAGAATATAAAAACTAAGTGTATATATATATATATATATATATATATATATATATATATATATAAACACAGCTGCTCCTTCCAGACGGGAGTATAAAATGAGGACCCCATAACCATGCCACCGGACTCCACGCCAGGCTGTTCTCACTGGGAGTACCCCCAGGGGGGCAGATAAAAGTCTTCCCCGCCCCAAGGGACCCAGTCCCGGCAGCCAGCCTCCACTACCCAACAGCTGCCATGCTCCAGGCCGCTTTCCAGATCACGCTGCTGCTTTGATGCTAAGACACTTCCTGCCCATTTTCCATAATTACCACACCATGTTTGATGGAATTCAGACAGTAGGTAACAAATCATAGACAGAATATGTATATATATATATATATATATATATATATATATATATATATATATATCCCCCTCGGGCAGAGCCTGGCAAGCTCCCCATGGCATATTTGATATGCCAAAATCATTAACTATAACAGGTCTCATTCCCCTGACCCTGAAAGAGCCTCCAATCATTGGGAAAGATGACTAAGGAGAGGCTGCTAAAATTTCAGGGCTGGGATGAATAGAGACATTACTGGCGCCTGCTTGAGTAAATCAATAAACAACAGGATGACAAGTGATGACAGTGATACAGTGATAATTCTCCCCCAACACGTCCATATTTTTTTTAACATCAGATGGGTGGGCTGGAGTGATAGCACAATGGGTAGGGCATTTGCCTTGCACACAGCTAACCCAGGTTTGATTCCTCCACCGCTCTTGGAGAGCCCGGCAAGCTACCGAGAGTATCCTGCCTCCATGGCAGAGCCTGGCAAGCCCCCAGTGATGTATTCTATATGCCAAAAACAGTAACAACAAGTTTCACAATGGAGACGTGACTGGTGCCTTCTCGAGCAAATTGATGAATAATGGGACGACGGTGCTACAGTGCTACATCAGATGGGTATTGTGCCAAGAGCATAACAAGTTTTAAGGGAGGCACATTGTCACACAAATGTATGAATACCCAATCATCATGCTTATGAACCAGAAAAGGATCCAACCCTTTCATCTTTACATTGTCAGATTGGAGTACCTCACTTTTTCAATCAGTCTTTATTTTTTGAATTTTCTTCTTATTTTTGCATTGTAAGTCATTATGCATGTATAGACTCTGTAGCAGCCTTAGGAATATGTGTGGGGAAGCATCAGTGGTTGTGATAGCACCTCTTAGGAACTGCCTGACACCTGGTGATACATTTCTCCCAGAATATATTGGAAGGTTTGAAAAACTTGCCTGCAGAGAGCTAATAATTATTATTACTACCTTATACTCACATTACAGTTTGATCTTTAAACATCATTAGCAGTTTGAATTGTTTAGAATGGAAGAATTAAGTGGGGATGAAGCGATAGCACACGGGTAGGGCATTTGCCTTGCACGCGGCCAACCCGGGTTCGATTCCCAGCATCCCATATGGTCCCCTGAGCACCACCAGGGGTAATTCCTGAGTGCAGAGCCAGGAGTAATCCCTGTCCATTGCCAGGTGTGACCTAAAAACAAACAAACAAACAAATTCTTCACTTAGGCAATAGAAGTACAGGGATCCAACCTGAGATAGTTTTATGTTAAGATTATGAATGGTCAAGAAGACATGGAACCAAGGAGCACTAGAAAACGTTGGTCTAAAAGAAAAATAATGACACCAAGACCCACACGACATGATTCCAATGTATTGTTGACCAAAAGAGCTAGAGTCACTGTCACTCGAGCGGGCCCAGTAACATCTCCACTGTAACAATCTTTACTGTATTTGGCATACAAAATACGTCACAGGTAGCTTGCTAGGCTTTGCCGTGCGAGCGAGATACTCTTGGTAGCTTGCCGGGCTCTCTGAGAGGGGCGGAGGAATCAAACTCAGGTTGGCCATGTTGGCCGCTTGTAAGGCAAATGCCCTACAGCTGTGCTATTGCTCCAGCCCAAGAGTTAGAGTATGGCCAGTTAAAACAAAACGAAGAAAAAGCAATTAAGAACACAGAAACCTAGATACATTTATTGAGTGGGATGTAGCTATAGAGTCTTTAGACTATCCAAAATGATATGTGTCTGAAACTGTCTCCAGACATTCTAAAGAAGTTCTTAATATTAACCTAGTTAGTTTGCCTGATTTGTGTTATCCAGATGTTATTTTCTTAGCTTCATTGGAGAAGTCCATTGCTGCCCCTGGTATAGGGACAGTCCAGACATTTATAGTTCAGCTCATGTTCAATGGACTGTGTTCTTTTGCAGGGCCCTGAAAAATATCTCTGGTGAGAAAAGAAACTTTATCTTATCCCGTTCTACTTTTGCTGGATCTGGCAAATTTGCTGGTCATTGGTTGGGGAATAATGCAGCTTCATGGAATGACATCCGTTGGTCCATCCCCAGTATCCTTGAGTTTAACCTCTTTGGAATTCCCCTGGTGAGTTTCTCCCTCAAGTGAGAGCCTGGACCCTTTATCTCTGAAACTCTTTCCATTACCAATCTTCGAGGGTTTCTGAAAACCTACAATGTATATCTCACTGTGATAGGTATGGACAAAGTTCTTATATATTTATTGATTTTTTCAGGGTTACACCCAGCAGTGCTTAGAGTTTACTCTCAGCTTTGTGCTCAAGGATCATTCCTGATAGGCCTTTGAGGGGACGTATGCAGTACGGGAGTTTCAGTCTCAGGTCATCTTGGTGTAAGGCATACATCCTGTACTATCTCTTCATCTCAAGAAACTCCATTTTAGAATATTTTCTTTGAGTAGCTTCTGAAGAAAGAATGAAACCTTTACAATTGGATGGCTATATGCTACATGGAAGTTGACACAATGAGTAAGATATTTTCATATCAGAATGATCCCTTCCAGAGTATCACTGAAATATCACTGTATCACTGTCATCCTGTTATTCATTGATTTCCTCAAGCAGGCACCAGTAACGTCTCCTTTGTCCTAGATTTTAGAAAGTGCCACATTCGAGGCTCTTTCAGGGTCAGGAGACTGACACCCATCATATTGAATACGCCACAGGGAGTTTGCCAGACTCTGCCATGTGGGCAGGATACTTTTGGTAGCCTGCCAGGTTCTCCAGAGTAAAAACTAGATAATAAGATGTTGCACGTCTGCAAATGCGGCCACACGCTTCCGTAGCTGGGTTTTACAGTCTCTGGGTCTTGGCCATTGATGGGATTATACAGTGCCAGGGGCAGTTGGTGGGTGTAATGCCTACATACTGGAAGATGGGGGATCTGGGTGGAAGAGGCCGAGTCCCAATCCGAACAGGCTTGGAGATCTACGCCCCTGGTCCCACACACCTGGGTTCTTCTGCCGGATTCTTCATGCGTGAGGCTCGTCCGAATGTGTGGAGAGTGGTCTTAAGCATGGCTGTGGCTGAAACTGGAGGTCTTCAGCTGCCGGGGCTCTGCTCAGGGTGGGAAGGGAAACTCAACCCACCCTCTTCCAAGGGGTCCCGGTGAGGACAGCCAGGCGCGGAGGCAGGAGATTCTGTGCTGTGCTCTTCTGGGAGCTGGATTTTATAGTCTCTAGATCTTGGCCATTGATGGGATTACACGGCACCAGGGGCAGTTGGTGGGTGTAACCCCTGCTTACTGGAAGATGGAAGATCTAGGTGGAGGAGGCCCAGTCCCAAAACGAGCAGGCTTGGAGACCTATGTCCTGAGTCCAGCACACTTGGGTTCCCATGCCAGTTCCTTCATGTGTGATGCTCGTCCTAACTATAAAATCCAGCTCCCGGAAGAGAACAGCACAGAGTCTCCTGCCTCTGCGCCTGGCTGTACTCGCTGGGGCTCCTTGGAGGAGGGTGGGTTGAGTTTCCCTCCCCATCTCGAGCAGAGCCCCGGCAGCTGAAGACCTCCAGTTCCAGCCACAGCCATGTTTAAGACCACTCTCCACACGTTCAAACGAGCCTCACTGAAATAGGAAGTATAAAATTTGAAACTGTCCATGGAAGAAGAGACATTGACAAAGCAGTCATTCATTCTCTGAAGTTGATCAGTGAAGCACACTTGCTTCTTTTTTTCACAGGGCTGGGGGCTTTGCCTGAAAGCCCTGGGGCCCCTTTTAAGCATGGAATGATGGGAATAAGAGATTCTCATTTTCTTTGTCATCTATGAACATAGTGAATAATTCTTTTCTCAACTAACCACTGTGCTGGTATATCTGACAATTCTTCAGGTAGGTGCCAACATCTGTGGTTATTTACAAAGTGTCACAGAGGAACTTTGCAGAAGATGGATGCAGCTTGGAGCATTTTACCCACTAGCAAGGAATCACAATGGGCCTGGGTTCAGGGTAAGATTTCCAAGACAAGTAATCAAGGTATAGTTTGCTGTCTAATCTAGTTTTTCCCAAACAGAATTTGAACACAATCTTCCAGGTTTGTCCCAAGAGAGGGAACATAATAGGTAAATCTTGTTTGATGGACTTAAAAAGCAAGGTTGTGTAAGGAGTTGTAGGAAGGTGTGTATTTAAATGGAATGATTTAATTGTTGGAAGTTCACACACAAAATTGAGAGCAGTTAATGTGTCTTTGGTATTGTTATTAATTTCTGTCACTTTTTATATATTGAGGCAAATAGAACCCTTTGGGAACTTTTCGTCAGTTAATACTGATGAAATACAGCCCAAAATGTGGGAGATCAAGGACGTAGGATTCAGAAGGGAATTGTCCAGTGATCCGAAAATTATTTTCCATCTCATTAAAACTGTCCATATTTATACAAAGACTTAGGACCATCATCCATTACTACTTCTCATGACTCATCTTGCCCTTGATTCTTTACTATCCTAAATCAAATTTTGGGTGAGCAACAGCAGAGGTGGGTTCAAAATTCCACTTAAAACATTAGTTTTGGTAATGGCAGAACCAAGTAAGTTAGGTGGGATTCTTTTCCTTTCAATGAAGTTATATGCTTAAGTATCTTAAGATCTTAAGTATCTTAAGATGAGTAGTTTAACGCTAAAAACGTTCTTAAATTCATTTGGGTAAATTACTAATTGTCATTTTAATGTCAAAACTTGCCATTGTTCAATCATATCTGCGTTCTAGAGAAGATTTACGGGCAAATTTTCAAAGTACTTGTTCCCAGGGAAGTCCTAAGCCTAGCTGTTTGTAATATAGGAAGAGGTGAACTATATATCAACTTCTGAGAAGGTGATGAGGAGTAGGTAGGAGAAGCATCTCCCTAAATAGGTGGTCTGAAAGGTGCTTGGATAGTTAGGAGTATATACGCAACTCAGTCTAAGATTACAGTTCTCATTTTTCCTTCCTTCTCAACTGGTACTGTCCGGTAAATAATAAGAAAAGTCAGTTATGTAAATTTAAGTGTAAATTTAAAAAGTAAACATTTAAATGATAGGAGAGATAGAAAGATGTCTACCTAGAGAGATAGCATGGTGAATAGGTCACTTGCCTTGTATGCAGCTGACCCAGGTTTGATCCCTGTAACTTCATATGTTCCTCCTGAACCCCAACCCCCCGAAAGCTTTACCAGGAGTGATCCTGAACACAGATCCAGGAGTAAGCCCTGAACATCACCAGGTGGGGCCTGAAATAGGGGGGTGGGAAGCAACTATATCTAATCATCTCATGAAATTCAACATATCCATAATATTATTTAATCCTGCCACATAAAATATTATTAATGAACTATTTTTATGCCTTCTCTAAGTCTTTTGAATTCTGTATATATTTTGACCTGGATACCAATTTTTCAGAGAAGTGAAATGTAAATTTGTCAAAAGAACTAAGTTAAGTTTGATGGAAAATATTTTATTCAGATTTTAGGTTTGTATTTAAGTGAAATAAAATGAAAAGTTCTATTCTTCAGTCTTAGCAATCACCTGGAAAGTATTTAATGGCCCATGTAGCAATTGGCTACCCTAGTAGACAGTGATCTCTAGACTCTCTCAGTCAAGACCAGAGAGATGGAGAATGTAGTGTCTTCTGATCTTTGATGCTTAGCCTTTGTGTTTTCATAAACCCTACATGGAGATGTAGATTGATCCCAT